TTTGCAAATACATCCATGAGTAAAAAATTAAGATGAAGACAGTATCCTTTAAATGTTCAGAGTTCCAGTTCACTAAAAGCTCTACAGTAACATTTCACATTTAAGACACTACAGTTTTTCTTTAACTCATTCTTGCAGGTATTTTACTCACTCAGTCTGTCAAATGAATTCATTGGATTACCAGGCAAAACATGCACACCACAAAGCCCCCTCTCACATGAAAAAAAAATTTCAGTCTCCATAGATGTCACACATTCCTCACAAGAACAAATTAAATCAAAGCATGCTTCCACACTTAGATGTGTATTTCCCCTCTATCCTGTACAATTTGTATGCTGTAAGGCATAGATGAGTAGTGGTCTATTGGCAATCGATCCTTTTTAGACAGAGAAAGCAAGAAACAATGAAGTTATTCATAAGACCAACAATACACTCTCTCTGCGTCACATACATGCCCAAATCAACTTCAATCATGAACAGATGCGAAGCAAGATATTCGTTCATATTACAGATCCACCACATTCCTCAACAGTTTCTTAAATTAATGAAAAATATCTTTTTTAAAAAATTAAAATCTTAAGACTTGTAAACTATTTCCAGATAGGTAATCCACTGATTGCTCTGTAGCTCACTGACTTGATTCCCATTGCAACCTCATTTATTTTGGCAATATTCTTAGCTGCCAGCAATTCACTACTGCCGTTATTTGTAGACAGTTCAATAGTTTTCCCTTATGAAATCTATCATCTCATAATTTTACTTTCAGTGCTTCTAAGGGTTATTTTGTACCTGTGTATTCATTAGATGCAACTCCTCCTTTCCTCCTATGAATGAGGTATTTCTCAGTTCTTGTGACGTTTCCACAAAAGTTGCTGGAAAGTTGTCTTCTCTGCAAGGTAAGGGCAAGATGCACCATATAAAACACTTCTTTTGTACTTGTACACATAAATAAGTGATTTTATTTTGAACAAAGCAAAGAAAATGAATTTCAGAACCACGGTACCAGAGGGAACCTCCAGCATCTTACAGCTGAACCACTTCCACTACTTTTCTCCATCCTCCTTATCCGCTCCTCCAGGGCCTTCTTCATTTATTCCTATTGTGTCTAACTCTTTATTCTTCTTCACAAATTTCCACACATGCCTTTTGTGCTGACCACCTGTCCTCCCCTGCCCCTTTCTGCTTCACCTTCCTCCCAGCGCCCCACATTCTGTGCCCACGGGGCGCACTGCCATCACCTCTCCGCCCTGGGGAGCGCACTCCAGTTTCCAGCTACCATTACTAACAAGTGTAGTTAGAGGTAACATCACGACACACACACGGACTTGAGCGGAGCATTTAAGCACAGCCTTAACATTCAGCCTGTGCCACAGCAGATTTTTACTCAGGAAAGAAATTCGGGCGATGAGTTGAACTGCAGCCTGAGCTTCCACAGGGCCTGCAACACCCTCCCCACCCTCCCCTTCATGCCCCACTCCTAGCAGCCTACCTTCACACAACATGGTAAAAGGTCACACAGCCTTTAGGTCACGATCTCACTAACTCTTACACATGTGACATGCCATTTGATTTCAGTGGCACTCCTCCAGGATAAAGCGAAGCGTTAGCAAGTCCTTGCAGGATGCGGAAGATGGCCGGCTGCTGAGGCCCCAGAGACACTTCTCCTCATAACATCATTTTACTCGCTAAGCACTGTGTGTTTCTTATAACAATACTGGTCTTTGATCGTTTATTCATTCCGGCTCCTGTAATTTTCAGCTTACCCACTTCATCCTTTACTACACATGGCCTCATTTATTTTCCTGATATCTGCAGATGAGAAATTAGACAGGCCCAGAATAGATCAGACAGACTACTGAATTTGGGTCATTATCCACAAGGCATCCCAAGACAGTCTGCCTTAGCTTGTCAGCTAAAGTTCACTAGCAATGCTTCCCTTACCCTAGAAAGGGAGATAAGGAAGACTAATAACTTTCATTAGACCAGCTGATACAGCCAGAAAGCCTGAAAATGTTTAAAGCATAACCTTGAGAGCTTCTTCAAGACTTACATACCTGAAAGCCCACCTTTCCTTTTTCTCCTGTGAACGCAACAAAAAAGTATTTTTGCAAATCAGCTGCTGTATCTACTGTTCTACAGAACAGCACCCGAAAGAGCCAATTTGCAACGATCTCTTCACAGCAGCCATTTCATCCGAGCACCTGAACATGTTTCGCTTTAAGCAGACTGAACCTAGTCACCTGGTTTAAATTAACAGTGTGCTTAAATATTCCTGTGGACCAATGCTAGAGTAGCTTATATCGGTATTTAAAAACAAGTCCCACCTTTTTCTAAGTACAACTCTGGACCACAGACCGTCCTTCCTGCAATTAATCTATGTTTCGTATCCAAATTCATTTGTCATACTTTGATTTGAAGGTGCCTAATTTCAAATTCATACAGGATATCGTATGGTCCTTCTGAACCAGTCTGTGTCCCACTTTACTCAATGCACAACAAACAGAAAACACACAGTCCCTGCTTTTATGCCCAATTGTTATTTGCATACTGTCACTAAGGAAAGGTTATTTATTCCATCTGGTTGATTTTTGAAGTTTGTCTATAGTATGAAGAACTAAGATACTCTTTTTACATTTTGATTTGCAAGTAGATCCTGGAACAGGACACTGAGAATCTAAAAGAAACACTGAAGTTTAAGCATTATTCTTTTAAAAGATAAATTCAAGGACTTTTCTTATCCTATAACTACAGCCAAAAAGATTCAAATCAAGCACACAGTAGCATCCCAGCACTCAGGCTTATAGCAGAAAAAAGTAAGTCTTGGCAAGCCATGGCTCAGACACTTTATTTATTGCAGTCATGAAGCCTATCAGAGACATCTTTGTTTACCTCATCACAAGTAAAAATTCATGAAGAAACATTGTGGGAAAATGTTCTTCTGGTCTCATAGCTAATTAGTGCAATTTGAGAGTACCCCATAGTTAAGCTGCCCAGCCTCTCTCTCTCTCAAGGAAAGTGGGGAACCGAATCTAAATGACAAGCGCTTTCCTCCCCTTCATCTGTGCATTTCAGGTTTGCTTACTAACTCGTGTCTGACTGATCTGATCTAGCAGACAGCACAGACATACAGGAATAAACTTCTAAAGGGTATTTTATTTAACTGCTCTCATAGTGAATTGCTAAATTTTATAGCATCTGTGTCATCACACACGATCTTGATTTTAGTCTAGCACAAATAGTGAAGACCAGCTAACACTGAAAGGCCACGTGGAGAACAATGAAGACTTGCTACCTGCAATAAAATTAGCATTTCCAGAAAAATGAAGAAATACTGACACCAAGCACATAGTTTGTACCTACCTATGTCCATATATATCTTTACACTGCTATTATAATATTTTAATACATTGTTTCTCCAAGCAAGGTTGTAAAAGTGTGGTTTATTAGCCATTTGCCATAGACTTACAGTTCTTCCCCAGGTTAAATTTATATCTGGCTATCAAAATGCATTACTACATTACCATCGCTTGCTTTTCCTACCGAATTAACATAAAACCCCCAACACTCTGAAGTGAAGGCGTATCTAGCGAGCATTCACACCGATGGCTCTGTGTTTTCTGCTATGGCTCCTGGTTTATTTCCTAAGGTCACGATGCGTACGCCGGTAATTGCCAGTGACAAAACCACAGCTACGTTATAGTCTACCTTATTAAAAATTAAGGCTGGTAATTAGACGCTGAAAACCAACAAAATTACTCTTCCTCCTTCCACGCTCCCACATCTTGCGCACCACGGCAGCTGCGACCCCCGGACAAGGGCTTATCTCCGAAGACCCAGGTGTTGCCCCCTCTCCAGGCGCGGCCGTGGCGAGGGTCCGAGGATGGGATGCTCCTTAACAACAAAAAAATCCCACCAAAAACCCC